AGGTCTCCTGAGTTACTTCAGGTGTTGGAGACCCTTGGAGGAGTGCAAGGCCAGGGCTTGCTTTCGCTGGGTTAGAGCCTCTTAAAGGACGTGCGAGGTTTAGACGTGGAGCAAAAGCCTTAGCTAATGGGGAACTTCATAAAAACACAGTCAGGTTCCGGATGGAAAATAAGCCAGGTTTAAATGTTAACGAGGAAATATAAGTCCAAGTCAAAATCTGCGCTCTGCTGTATGAAATGAGTCTGCAGAGACTGGCATTATGGCAGAGTTCATTTGACTAATCGGAGGCGTCTATTAGTGCAAAATGCTTGCAAATGGAAAGGAAAATTGTTTTGCCGTTTTTTTTTTTTTCATCAAAATGTTGGCATGCCTTTTTAAGGAGAGTTGCTCTCTCTGTGTGCTTTCCCTCCTGCCACTATGCCAAGGCTCGGTGGGGGGATGAGGAGATGTGAATGGGTCCGTGCCGGTGTTGGGCTCGTGGGCTGCCACTTCGATGTTGCACAAGCTCGGATGCAAAATGGGGCTGCAATGGAGGTGTTGCCTACCAAAACTGAGACACGCAGAGGTGTTGCCTCCAGAAGGACTGGGTTTGCTCTGGATTGGATGCAAAATGGGGCTGCAATGGAGGTGTTGCCTACCAAAACTGAGACACGCAGAGGTGTTGCCTCCAGAAGGACTGGGTTTGCTCTGGATTGGATGGCTGTCCCCAGGGAAATGGGGTTATTCAGGATGATTGATAATGGAGCAGGTATAAACCCACCCACCTTCAGCAACTTCATCTGGACTTTCTTCTTCTCCTCTCCTCGGTTTGATCCTCTACAACCTTTCATTTTCCCTTCCCTCCCCTTGCAGATGGTCTGGGAGGGGAGCAGCCCCGGCCGTTATGTTGAAAGCATCAGCCAGGGTCTTTGGAGGCTGCTGCTCCTGTAGATATGAAGGACCTGGGCCACGTTTGATACCAGGTGAACGAGGCATAGCCTAATTAGTGGTCTCCTACTGTTATTAACCCCTGACTCAGGCAGGCTATTTTTTAACAGAGGTGCAAGAAGTTAATACTAGCGCTAATGGCTTCATATCCAAGGACTTAATGAAAGCCATGCAGGGACCAGGCCTATCATCAATATCTTTCAAACTTTGAACTTGAAATTATCCTCTCCCCCCTGCCCTTTTTTTCTCTTTTGCCTTACTACCTACTTTCCCACCTCACCTGGGGTCTCTTGGCTCCACGGTATGAACTGGCTGGCAGGTTTGGCACCCACCAGCCCCATAGCAGAGCTGAATCCCATGGCACTGAGATAAATGGTCCCAGTTGGCTACATGGGTCATTGTGGCATCTCCCACCGGGGGATGAGATGCCTGCTTGGAGAGCAAAACAAAAGTAAAAGTGGAACATGTTGGACAAGGAGATAAGAAAGCAAGGAGACGCTGTGTTAGGAAGGAAGCTTGGTCTTGGTCTTGGTCTTGCTCGAACCAAACTCCAGGAGAACTTCACACGTACAGAAAAGCATTTATATTTATAATTTATTCAAGTAGAAATGGAGTGGGATAGGAGCAACTGGAGTGTTGCTAAGACCCTCGAGGAGAGGAGGAGGAGGTCCGAGGATAAAGCTCTCTCATCTGGGTGCTGCCTCAAGAGGCTTTGCCCAGGGCAGGACCAGAGGTGGCAGAGCAGCCTTGCCCTGCACTGTGGTGGAGGGGTCATAGCCTACCAATTTGGGGTAACGTGGGTTGATTTCTGGGGTGTTTCCTCTGTTTCTAGCGCTTTGGATTTGTGTGTGATGCAGCCTCAGAGTCGTGTCGTGATGTCAGGTGGGAGAGGGTAACGCACTGGGGCTCCGTGGCTGGATTGTGCTCTTTTTAAAACAAGAATCCATTTTTTATCGAAATATATTTTTCATTTTAAAAATAAGCCTGTTTAAATAAATTTGAAATTATGACAACCTATTTTAAGGCTTAAATTTACTATAATCTATTAATCATTTAAATAACTTCCATCAAGGAGTCCTCCTCAAATATTAATGAGCTGAAGGGTGCTGCTTTTTCAGTGATATGTCAGATCAGGGGAAAACATCTTTAACTCTAGCTTTCTAAATGTCACAATGTCATATACTTAGTATCTATTATTTTCACTCCTTACAATGGAGCAAATGCTGGTATTTACATTTTTCCAAATGTCAGTACGTTGAGTTCCTGTTGTGCATAAAAGCTCTTGCTTTAATTACTCCTAATTTCACGTTAGCAGGCAGGTGCGGGGAGAATATTTTCTTCCATTTGAGCTAGTTCATTTGAAGTTGAGAAGCCGTGGGGAGTTGGGGAAAGCAGGAAAGCTTGTTTTCCCCTTTCAGCCCATGAATAAAGACCAGGTGGGAGAGGAGGAGATCTGCTATTTCAAACCCTCCCGGCTCCCAGGACCGGCTTTTCAAAGGGGATCTGTGTGCCTAAAACACGCAGCTCGGCGGTTAGAGGGAATTTCAAAAGTGCTTCTGGCTTCCTAGATGCTTTAGCTCCTCTCGGTTTTGCTTCCCGGTGGCGTCGAGGAGAGCTCAGCATCCCTCTGCTTGGGACACTGGAAGCGCAGTGATTACCGCCAGAAATACAGCCCATGCTGAGCAGAAACAATCTGCCAATTCGCTCGCTGCGGCTAATGCTTCTTTTGATTAATCAAATCAGTTTGGGAGGATGAACCTGGTTCCTGATGCAGATTGCCCCCCCACCCCTTCCCCGGTAGCTAGCTAGCTCGCTCAAGACAGCCTAATGAAATTAATTAACAGAAAATTTAAAATGTTGGTTTTCGGCACTGTAATTGAATTCCAGTTTTCATTGGAAGGCAGCATGAAACAAGCAAAATAAAGATGACAATTTGCAAAGTGAGCCTCGGCTCTTCCCCGTTGCCATCAAAGCGCATAGCTACAAGTGGGATGGAGTGGACCTGGACAGGCTGGAGAGGTGGGCCCAGGTGAACCTCATGAGGTTCAACAAGAGCAAATGCAAGGTTCTGCACCTGGGCCGGAACAATCCTCACCATCAGTACAGGCTGGGGGGTGAGGTATTAGAAAGCAGCCCTGAGGAAAGGGACTTGGGGGTGCTGGTGGATGAGAAGCTGGACATGAGCAGGCAGTGTGCAGCTGCAGCCCAGAAGGCCAATCGCATCCTGGGCTGCATCAAAAGATGCGTTGCCAGCAGGTCCAGAGAGGTGATTCTGCCACTTTGCTCTGGTGAGACCTCACCTGGAGTATTGTGTGCAGGTCTGGAGCCCTCAATATAAGAAGGACATGGACCTGATGGAGAGGGTCCAGAGGAGGGCCACAAGGATGATCAGGGGGATGGAGCACCTCTGCTACGAGGACAGGCTGAGGGAGCTGGGGTTGTTCAGCCTGGAGAAGAGGAGGCTCCGGGGAGACCTAATAGCAGCCTTCCAGTACCTGAAGGGAGCCTACAGGAAGGCTGGGGAGAGCCTGTTTAGAAAGGCCTGCAGTGACAGGACGAGGGGCAATGGCTTCAAGCTGGAGGGGAACAGATTTAGACTGGAGATGAGGAGAGGGTTCTTCACTGTGAGGGTGGTGGAGCACTGGAACAGGTTGCCCAGGGAGGTGGTTGAGGCCCCTTCCCTGGAGATATTCAAGGAGAGGCTCGACGAGGCCCTGGGCAACCTGGTCTAGTTGGGGGTGTCCCTGCTGACTGCGGGGAGGTCGGACTAGATGGCCTTTGGAGGTCCCTTCCAGCCTGGGCAATTCTGTGATTCTATGAGTGAGAAGGTCTGGCTGGAGCTTTTCCATGGGGCAGAGGCAGGAGGGAAAGCTGCGGTGTCCCTGCTGACTGCGGGGAGGTCGGACTAGATGACCTTTGGAGGTCCCTTCCGGCCTGGGCAATTCTATGACTCTATGATTTTATGAGTGAGAAGGTCTGGCTGGAGCACTCCCATGGGGCAGAGACAGGAGGGAAAGCTGCATCTCACTGGGAAGCTCATCACATTTTTAATGGTAATTCCAACCGATGCAACTGAAGCTTATGTTTTCAGGAAAAATAAGTAGCGGGCAAACGGTAGGCTCAATCTGATGGCTGAGATCAGGGTGATCTGAGATGGTAATCAAGAAGATCTGGTCTGAGATGGAGGTAGTGGTTAAAACAGTGCCCATCTCTCTTGGGGATGTGCTGGTGTCACCTTCCCTTTTGCTAAGATCCAGCCATAGGATGTCCCTGAAATTTTGGAGTCATCCAGATGAATTTGGTTTGATTTGGCATTTAGTGTCCTCCCGCATGTGTCGCGTCTCTGTCCTCAGCTGCTCCTCCTGTTTGGGCGCTCCTCAGCCCGGCTCTGTCCATCTGTCCCACTGCCCCCAAACCCTGAAGTTCAAGGTACTTAGGGAAAGTCAGGGTGTTTGGGCAGAAGCTGCAGTTACATCTGCACATCTCAGGGATGAGTCTTGTGTGGGGAGCTGTAAAAAATGTTTGAAGTCTGAAAACCTCTGAATGAACCTCAATCAGAGCCAGAGCTGAAGGTTCCATCGCAGCCACATGCATATTTCTCCATTCACAAGGGATGGGAAATATTTTTGCCTGTAATAATTTGCTACGTGGTCCCAATGATCCCATTAGTGCTGCTGAGAAATTGTCCTATATCCTCTGCTCCCCACGGCTGGAGCTGTGTTTAACATGAAGCACGTGGGTGAAAACCATCCGAAATAGGGCTGGAAGGATGCTGCCAGGCTCCCCAGCTCTGGCCCCAAGAATCTGTCAGCAAGTGCTCAGGCCCTGTACCACATTTGGATTTTTGGAGGGGCCCACATCTGGTTTTTATCCAGAAATATGTTTTCACTCTGCTTTAACCCTTCAGGTTGTGTGTAATGTAGGGGCAGCCATGGTGCTGGCAGGGGTGGGGCTGGAGGGATCTTGCTGGTGTGTGATCCTTGGTCCCTCCATCCATCTTTTTGGGAAGAGGTGAATGTCCCCCATCACCCTTCTCCTTCCCATTTCCTGCGTGACCATCTGTGCTTTTGCAGAGATCTCGGGCAACACGGATGACATCCCGCTGGTGCGCTGGCGGCAGCAGTGGCTGGAGAACGGCACGTTGCTCTTCCACATCCACCACCAAGACGGGGCACCCAACCTGCCTGGCTTTGACCCCACAGAGGAGCCCCAGACTGAATCGGCAGAGGAAGAGCTGAGGATCCTCCACATCTCCGTCATGGTATGTGATGGGAAGGCAGCCCTTGTTTAGGTGTTCAGAAACCTGTAGAGAATATAAGGGCTTTTGAAAAGCCATATATTTCCCTATCTGGCTCCAGATGTCCTTGGATGGGGAGCTGAGCTCACTTTTGCAAGCTGGTTAAGATGTTGGAGGCAGGGTGCTTTACCATCGGGCTGTTTTAATTCCTCCCCTTGGTTTGCATCACTTTGCAAATACATTTGCAGGGCTGCCTTTATTCCTGGGAAGTGCTGGTCTTTGAAGGTCTCAACCACCTTAACCCGAGGTTCATTCACATTAACTTTGTCCAGAGCCCTTTGCCTGGTGATTGGTGCCCGGTGCCCGTCGTTCCAGTGCGCGGCGGGTGTCACGGTGCCACTGGCCACTGTCACCTCTGCTTTTATCAGCTTGGCAGCCCCGTGGCTGTGGTTTCGCAGCGTGCAGTAGGAGAGAGCATCCCATGCGTGGAGACTCTCATCCTCCCTGCACAAACACGGGGGTGAGGTTTTGATGGCAGAGAAAGGAGGGCGAGACAGAGATCTGTGTGTTGGAGGTGGATCTGTGGGGTTGTTTTTTTGTTTTGTTGGGTTTTTTGTTTTGTTTTTTTTTTTTTTACACTGGAAGAAATCTGAAGAATCTGACAATTTTTGTGCCACTGGAAGATAATTAGCTGGAGACAATGTGTTGCCGAGGCTGCAAACAGGCTGTTTAATGGTGCCTACCCTAATGAGAGCGTCAATAGCTCTTCCAGATTGCAGCCCCAGGCCAGGTTTCTCCTCCATCATTTGTGCTTGATTAGTCTCGAGAAAAAAAAAAAAAAAATCACTGGCAAAGCCACTCCCAAAAAACATTTTGGAGGGTTTCCTTTTTTTTTTTTTTTTTATTGTCCATTCTCAGCTGCTCCTAAGAGGGTGCATCACCTTGAGAGAGGGTGGCCCCACTCTGCCACCGTGGTCTTGGGTTTCATAGGCACTGCTGAATACCAAGATGGAGAGAAGAGTGCCTGAAGAAAGGTTTGTTATTGAGCTGATGAAAACGATGTCTGCAACTCATCGCTCTCATACCAAAATGCGTAAATACAGATTGTCTCCTCTCTCTCCCCCCTTTTTTCCCCCATCACTCTCAGCTCTGCTCCAGCGGCATCCTTACGCCCTGACAAATAGAGGCTGGCTTTTGTGCCAGGAGTCGGGATGGCGTAGAGTTTTCAAGGCTGATTTTCTTTCTTTCTTTCCTTTCTTTCATTCATTCCTTTCGTGTGGTTGCCAAGAGAAGTGTGAGCGAGGGACTGGATGCACTGTGACAGCGGTCGGCACGTGGAGCGGGCGAGAAGCGCAGGCCTCAAATCACAGCCGCTGTTTGAGTGCCGGGGGAGGGAGGTTGGGGTTGGGGGATGAAGGCAGAACAGGATTTCTGTGCTCCCATGGAGTGGAACCAGGGGTCTGAGGTGACCTCCTCCAGTGAGCAGTGGGTGGAAGGGGACTCCAGCGCTGGTTTTTATCCTCCTTTTCAGAGCCTCTTGAAATCTCAAGTGGCCGCATGCTGCTTTCCTCGGGGATAGTTTGGGCTCTCAGGATATCATGGCAGAAGAAATTCAGTTTTAATTAAATAACAGGTCTTTTTTGAGAACCCACAGCTAATGCAAATGGGCGTCCACCTGACGACTCAAGCTCCAGTGTGGTCACCCTTATTTACCAGCACAGGTGTATGGCAGAGCTCTCTGGGGTTTGGGGGATGTAATGTGCATACAGGAGAGGAAAACCAGGAATTCCCTGGTATTACTCCCACCTCCTCATCACCCCATCTCCTTCCTAGGGGTGATGGAGAGCCATAACATCCCCAAATGGAGGATGGAGGCCACCTCTAGGGATAGTCCCCACTTATTTACAGATCAGAGGAACTCAAAGGGATTTGAACGTGGCAGAGAATCGGGCCCAGACTTTACCACTAAAAAACTCAGGTTGAGCATGGCCAGACACGAATCCCGTGCCAGTTTTCAGCCCTGGCAAGAGATTTCCTGTCCTCACGGCTGCAGGCTCCTGGCCAGAGAGACGCCATGTGCCAGCCGGCCCCCCCTTCCTCTGTGGACTGCTTGTCTCCTTAATCACTGGAGTTTCTTTAGTTTTTTCCTCCTTTTTTTTTTTTTTTCTCAAAAAAAGTTTGGAAGGAGGCTGGGAGGGTGCATCACAGCTCCATTATCTTGGGAATGAAAGAGGATTAAACCGTAATGGCCATTAGAGCTCCTTTTCCAGCTGCCTCTTCTACTTCTCATTCAATAATTCCCTTAATGTTTTGTCCTAATGGAGCAGATTATTACTATTATTTTATTTTATCAAGATCACCTATTGCATAGAAAAGAGGAGGGGGACCAGGGCCACGGATGGACACAGAGCTCTTAGCTGGCTCCACATGCTGATTTATTATATTATTATTATTATTATTATTATTATTATTATTATTATTATTATTATTATTATTATTTTGTTTGTAAAGGGCCAACTTGGGCTTTCATCTCACCGACTCTATCTGGGTGCAGTGACGATGTCTCTACAAGGAGGGTGACCTTGGGGACAGTGACAAGGTGGCAGGGCTGGGTGCAGTTTTGGGGTCCGTCCCCATGGGGCAGGAGCTTTTTTGGTCTCTTTGCTCAGGTGTTCCCCAAACAATTCTCCAGCCATCCGGCTGTCTCAAGCTTTGATCTTCTTTAACACGTGCTGCAGTTTCTGCAGGATACCCGGGGAAAACCTCCCAAGATCGAGAGTGACAGCACTGAAACCGGTTGGAAATGGGTCAGGAAAAGTTGCCCGTAGGAGCGTTTGCCTGGCATAAATCTGTTCCAAAGACGTGTTGTGGGAGAGTGAAACAAAACACGCTCTGCTTTTAAATGCTGCTGGGTTGTTGCTGCAGTGTGCCCAGGTGGCCAAGAAAGCCAACAGCATCCTGGCCTGTATCAGGAACAGCGTGGTGAGTAGGGCCCGAGAGGTGATTGTCCCCCTGTACTCGGCACTGGTGAGGCCTCACCTTGAGTACTGTGTCCAGTTTTGGGCCCCCTACCATAAAAAAGACATTGAGGTGCTGGAGCGGGTCCAGAGAAGGGCAACAAAGATGGTGAGGGGTCTGGAGAATAAGTCTTATGAGGAGAGGCTGAGGGAACTGGGGTTGTTCAGCCTGGAGAAGAGGAGGCTGAGGGGAGACCTTATTGCTCTCTACAACTACCTGAAAGGAGGGTGTAGAGAGATGGGGGTTGGTCTCTTTTCTCAAGTCACAGGCGACAGGACAAGAGGAAATGGCCTCAAGTTGCACCAGGGGAGGTTCAGGCTGGATATTAGGGAAAATTTTTTCACTGAAAGGGTTATCAGACACTGGAATGGGCTGCCCAGGGAGGTGGTTGAGGCACCATCCCTGGAGGTGTTCAAAAGACGGGTTGATGTAGTGCTGGGAGGTATGGTTTAGTGATGATGCTCCTTGTTTGTTGTGTGGGTGTCTATTTTTGTCAGTTAGGTTGACGGTTGGACAAGATGATCTTTGAGGTCCCTTCCAACCTAGAAGATTCTGTGATTCTGTTGGGTTTTTTTTATGCCTTCCAACCTAGAAGATTCTGTGATTCTGTTGGTTTTTTTTTATGCCTTGGTGGTGACTTCAAAGCCAGTCCACCTTGAGGCAGGCTTCAGCCGGGAGCACTTGGCCAACACCGGGCACCCTCTTAAGATAAGGTGCCTTAACCCTCTTAAGATAAGAGGTCTTTGCTTTGGCCATCCTGGAGCATCCCTGGGGTGTTTGCATCCCCAAGGGTGGCTGGTGCTGGTCACCATCTGAGCCCCCCTTTCATTTGTGCCCACCAGGGAGGGATGATTGCCCTGCTGCTGTCCATCCTCTGCCTGGTGATGATCCTCTACACCCGCCGGCGGTGGTGCAAGCGGCGCCGGGTGCCGCAGCCCCAGAAGAGCGCCAGCGCCGAGGCGGCCAACGAGATCCACTACATCCCCTCGGTGCTGATCGGGGGCCACGGGCGGGAGAGCCTGCGCAACGCCCGCGTGCAGGGCCACAACTCCAGCGGGACCCTCAGCATCCGCGAGACCCCCATCCTGGACGGCTACGAGTACGACATCACCGACCTGCGGCACCACCTCCAGCGCGAGTGCATGAACGGTGGGGAGGACTTCGCCAGCCAGGTCACCCGCACCCTGGACTCGCTGCAGGGCTGCAATGAGAAGGCCAGCATGGACCTCACACCAGGTGGGGCTAGGACAGGGTTTTGGGTCCTCTCCAAACTTGTCTTTTCTCCATCATTCTATCCGTGTTTCCCCTTGAGCATTTTTCCTGTTTCTCTGGGGTGTTGGTGGCACTCTGAAGGCGCTTCCATTGCTGGGAGACCTTCCAGCCAGCAGAGAGTGGTCCCTGCTGAGCGGGACATGGCTGGGACAACGCAGGGTGAAACTTTGAGGGGAAGGGCTGCAGTTCTTGTAGAGGGTGTAGAGAGGTGGGGGTTGGTCTCTTCTCTCAAGTCACAGGCGACAGGACAAGAGGAAATGGCCTCAAGTTACACCAGGGGAGGTTCAGGCTGGATATTAGGAAAAATTTTTTCACTGAAAGGGTCATCAGCCATTGGAATGGGCTGCCCAGGGAGGTGGTTGAGGCACCATCCCTGGAGGTGTTCAAAAGACGGGTTGATGTAGTGCTGGGAGGTATGGTTTAGTGATGGTGATGCTTCTTGTTTGTTGTGTGGGTGTCTATTTTTGTCAGTTAGGTTGACGGGTGGACAAGATGATCTTTAAGGTCCCTTCCAACCTAGAAGATTCTGTGATTCTTGTGCCCTGTTGCAGAACCAGAATGGTGTCCCCTCCGAGCTGCCTCGTGGTGATCCCCAAAATTCCCTTTTATATTCCAGAATTTCTGGTGTCTTTTTCAGCTGAGGTTTCTAGTAGCAAAACTATACTTGCCATCAGTATGGTTCAGAGTTAACACTGTCTTCTGATCACCAGCAGAGGTTCTTCGAGGCTTGTAACACACTTGCTTGTTGGCCATATTACCAACTGAGCCATCCAACTGGAGTCTTCTGAACAGAGACATAGTTTGGGAGGACCATGGTGTGGTTCCTAAAGCTCTCCAGGGATTTTCTTTACAGACCTGGGTATGCAGAAGTGCCCTGAGAGGCTGAATGTTAAAACTCAGCTTTTGGCTAGCTTTGTGGAGGTGCTAGTCCCCTTCAGGCTTCGAGGAGCTCATGAATGTGCATTTGGAGCAACTCAGCCCATTGGCCATGGCACCCTGGTCACCTCATGCAGATGCTGGAGGTGTATCCAAGGAAATCTCTCTCCTTCTCACCCCCCTTTCTTTTTTTAAGTCTTTGTCCCTGAAAGATTTTGCCTTCAATTCTTCCTTGCTCAGGGAGCGATAACGCCAAGCTGTCCCTGATGAACAAGTACAAGGACAACATCATCGCCACCAGTCCCGTGGACTCGAACCACCAGCAGGCCACACTGCTGTCCCACACCTCCAGCAGCCAGCGCAAGCGCATCAACAACAAAGCACGAGGTAAAGGGTTCCCCAGGGTGGACAGGGTGCTCTGAGTTTCCACACACACTCCAGCAACTTGTCCTCTCCTGGGATGGAGAAACGGGACCAGCATTGGGCAAGAGCATGGAAAGGAGAGTTTGGGTGGGAGGAAGCAGAAAAAGTGGTATCTGCAAGGATGCCAATGATGTTGGGTTGGTTGGTTGGTTGCAAAGATGCAGAGGGTGTTGGCCATGGTAAATATTTTATGATACTGTCACAGCCATGGGGAAAAGTTGCAAGATTGCCTTACTCCTGGGTACCAGCTCCTGAGAGCTGTGGCAGGAGGCATGGCTGTGCGTGGTGGGAAGGGGAGAAAATGCTGTCCCTGCCGTGCCCTGTAGCCAGGGCTCCTAGTCTTCAAGGCAATGCTTGCCTTCAAGGGGGGGATGTAGGATGCAGCAGCGTGGGGTGGCACGGTGCCAGCCCTGCTGTGACCACACTCGGTGTCCCCTGCAGCCGGCTCAGCATTTCTGAATCCCGAGGGGGACTCGGGGACAGAGGCGGACACCGATCCCCAACTGACCTTCTACACGGACCCCTCGCGGAGCCGGAGGCGCAGCCGAGGTGGGTGCAGGCGTGGAGGTGGGCAGCGAGCTGTGGCCCCTCTTGCCTTGTGTGCTGTCTACTTTCCACGTTCAGGGACTTTCCATCTGCAAAAGGTGGAAACTCAGGCATGATCCGGGCTGCTGGGGGCAGGAGCCAGTCCCTGGTCCCGCAGCAGGTTGCCGCTACTCTCCGGTGGAGTTTCTCAGCAGAGGATGAAATGTATTCTGATTTTTTGCTGAAGGCTTCTGCCAGGCTCTAGTGTGTATTAATGAGTAATAGGCTTCAAAGGCTGGTCCATGAGCTTCTGTGCCGCTGCTCAGCACGGAGCTGCTGTGGGTTCACTCTGGCACCATACACGTATGAGCTGGATGTGTGTTGGAGGGTGGAGACAGGCTTGGTCCCTGGGCAGGGGTCTCTCCCTACTGCCCTGCACCATCCCTCTGGGAGGTTTCCTCTCTGAGGAGGACAGTTTCTGTCTGTTTTCCCTCCTTCTTTGGCTGGTGCCTTGTGTTTCTGGGAGTGGTGGTCCTCAGAGCTGTCTCCTTCACCCCCAGTGCCCATGCTGGCTGCTGGGAGGCCAGTTCAGGCTTTGTCTCCATGGGATATAGCTCAGCCCCCCCCTACCCAGCCAGCTTTTTCTGCTCAGCTTCTTCAGCTAAGAGATAAAAAGTCAAAGACCTGTGTGCCTTGAACAGTTAGGGCTCTCTGGTGCTTTTTCAAAGGCATCCAGGAGGCTGTTGTCATGGCAAAATTAACCCAAGAGAAGTGCCGAGAAGAAATGGATATTGCATTTAGCTTTCTTCTCCTCAATAACTCTGCTCTGCTTTAAAGTCCTGCTGCTGCAAAGGCCTCAGTGTGAGGCAGTGCAGGGGTGCAGGAGAGCCTGGGCTGTGGGTGCTTGGGGTGACCCCAGGCAGGATAGAAAGGCTGCTGCGGCTGAGGATGCTTCATGCTCTTGAAAATCCAAAGCAACTCCACTTGATTGGATTGATGCTGGATTTCCAGGGAGCTGAGCAGGGTCTCTGCACCCCGAGACCCTCTGGCTGCACCCCCAAGATCTTCCTGGATCCCTTGGGGTCTCAGGTTTGACTGTGCTTTTGTGTTTCGCAGTAGGCTCCCCCCGAAGCCCCGTGAACAAGACCACACTGACCCTCATCAGTGTGACGAGCTGTGTCATCAGCTTGGTGTGCTCCTCCCACATGAGCTGCCCCCTTGTTGTCAAGATCACCCTCCATGTCCCCGAGCATCTCATCGCTGACGGTGAGTGTCCTGTAGTCCTGCCCCCACCATCCTCCCCTCTCCTGCCCTGCTCTGCGAGCTATAATGGAGAGGAGGAGGGAATGATGGAGAAGACAGAGGTGGGACAGGTATGGCATGGAGGGTACCAGTGCAGGACACAGGATGAAGGGGATGGGCACAGGAGAGAGGGGACAGGCACAAGATGGAGATCGTTATTGCAGGATGGAGGGGGGATGGGTGTGGGATGGAGGGCATGGGCACAGGACGGAGAGGGCCATCGTGGGATGGAGGTGATTGTCATGAGTTGGAGGACACCAGCACAGGACAGAGGGTGAGGTGTGGGACTGAGGAGACAGATGCGGGATGGAGGTGACCACTGTGGGACAGAGGGGACAGGCACAGGATGGAGGGGGCTATCATGGGATGGAGACAGGCACAGGATGGAAGGGACCATCACAAGGTAAAGGGGATGGGCACGGGACATAGGAGTTCATTGTGGAATAGAGAGGGCTGTTGCAGGACAGAGGGCACCATCTCAGGGTGAAGGACATGGGATGGAGGGATCCATCACAGGGATGGAGGGGACAGCAGCAGGTCACTGCCACTGACTCCCCTCTTGGTGGCAGGGAGCCGATTCATTCTTCTGGAGGGGAGCCAGCTGGATGCCAGCGACTGGCTGAACCCGGCGCAGGTGGTCCTCTTCTCCCAGCAAAACTCCAGCGGGCCCTGGGCCCTGGACCTCTGCGCCCGGCGCCTCCTCGACCCCTGTGAGCACCAGTGTGACCCTGAGACTGGTAGGTGGCCAGGTGGTTGGGGTGGGTTTGGGAGCCTGCTCAACCTGCCTGCTCAACCCAGCTTTGGTGGGAAGATGCTTTCTCACCTTCTTCCACATGTGAGAACGGAGCTGCCAGCTGCCCTGGGTGGCTGTAGGCTGGGTTCGACATGTGGAAAGCCTTCTCCTCCCATGTCCCTCATGTCACCCCCTCTCTCTGTAGGTGAGTGTCTCTGCTACGAAGGCTACATGAAGGACCCCGTGCATAAGCACCTCTGCATCCGTAACGAGTGGGGAACAAACCAGGGGTAAGTGTGCCCAGGCTTGGGTTGTCCTCCGTGCATAAGCACCTCTGCATCCGTAACGAGTGGGGAACAAACCAGGGGTAAGTGTGCCTGCCACAGCGTGCCCAGGCTCGGGCTGTCCTTACACGGGTTGCTGGGCTTCAGCAGCGGCCTAGTAGGGCTGTGACAAAGGCTCTTGGGCAAGAAGAGTTGGTGACATCTCAGTCAATTATAAGGTCAGCCCGTGGCTGGGCTCTGCAGCAGATCTGCAGGAGGTAAGGAATTCAATTCTTGGAAATAACCAGAGGTGATGTAGAAGAGGCTGTTGTTTGGTTTCAGAGTAATCACCTCCTGGGGAGGACCAAAGGTGCACTTCTTCTCCTTGTGGGGACTCTCCTCGTCATCCTGCACTTCGTGGGGTTTTCAGTTTGGGGGTGTGAGGTGTTGGGAGGAGGGCTGAGGTTGTGCTGCCATCCCCAGCGGAGGAGGGAGGCTGCAGGGTGGGGACACCCCATAGAAAATTGGGCAAATTAGGTGCTTCTGTGCCGTGGCCTGAGGGAACAGAGCGGTTGTTGTCTGCTCCACAAGCTTTACACCCCTGGAAGTCCAAAGGGAAATTTTTCTGATGTTTCTGCAGCCATTTGGTGGAGGTTCCCAGACATTCCCATCTCTCTGTGGCCCTCGGGGGGGGGCTCCATCTGGTTCTTAATGCTCATGGGTCTCTGATGTGCAGATGGGGACTTCCAGGGGTGGCCGGAGGTAGCGTCCAGAAAGCCAAGACACCCCCAAAACTAGAGACCCCATGTGCGCCAGCACCTCCAACCCTCCTTTTTCCTCCCTTCCCCTCATTGTACCACAGCTGGATCTGTGGTGTCGGTGTCCCCACGTGTGGCAGGATGTCCTCTCTGAAGTCATTAGTCTTCACAGTGGGAAGAGAAGATCATCAAAGGCTGGGCTTGGCAGCACCCCCGCTGTGCTGCTGTGCCCGAGGATGGCAGCCACAGGGTGCTGCCTCTGTGTGTCCCTTTGAACTGGGGTCTGGGGAGAGCACTGCTACTCTGTCTCCAGTCTCCTCTCCGTTTTTGGGTGGTTTTTTTTTTTTTTTCATTTTAAAAGCGATTTAGCAATTAAACCCAGTGTGGCTGCGGGAGGTAAGGGTGGTTATCCTTGTGGGTGCTCTGAGCCAGGCTGGGGACAGGGGAACACTCGTGAGACATACTGGGGACATGCTGAGTGTTGTGGTCAGGGTCCCCAAACCACTGTGAGGGACCACTGCCGGGGTGGGGAAATACAGGCAGAAACACAGCTCCCTGCCCTCTTCTTCCCCAAGGGACCAGTGTCCGACAGGGATGTCCCCATCTCATAGAATCATAGAATCATAGAATGGTCTAGGTTGGAAGAGACCCTTGGGATCATCGAGTCCAACCATCTATCCTACTCTACAAAGTCCTCCCCTACACCATGTGCCTGCATCTAAACGGCCCTTAAACACAGCCAGGGATGGTGACTCCAAGATCTCCTCTGTGCCCATGTCATAAGAGGCACAGAATGATGGGGACTGGGCATGGGAGTGGGTATTCCCCCTGCCAGGGACTTGCCCATTTTGGGATGTGTTTGAATTTAGGACTGTCTCACAGTGGGTTGATAAGAGCCACGCAGGCTTTGATGCCAGCCTGTGCCTCAGTCAGAGCCACCAGCAGTGTGCTGGACCCACCACCTTGCAAAAAGCAAGAAGACAAATGACTTTGTCCATTGAGGCAGGTAATAAAAATTGATAAGGACAGGTGGAGAAGCATTTGCTTCCTTCTGCCCTGGTTTTCCTTTGCTCCTCCTGGATGTGAGACTGCAGCTTCACTCTCTTCCTCCCACGCGCATTGCTCTTCTCTAGCTTCTTCCTGATCTAGCTGCTCCAGCATCTAAAGAGAGAGCAGCTTTCAACTGAATTGGTTAAAAAATATAGACAGTAAAAAGCATGAGGGAAGCCAAGGCAGGAAGGACAAATCCATCCCTGCAGCCCTCTGGTCCTGTTCACAGCTCCAGACCAAGCTTTAGCATCAGCAATGCCAACCCAAAAGGTGCTCAGGACCCACTTCATTCCTCTGGGGAATTTGGGGGCACTTTTCTGACCCAGCTCCATCTCAATGGCCCCACAGGAGCCTTCTGCTTCCTCATGTTTGAGTCTCTGCCTTTACTCCTGCAATGGTGTTCACACCTGGCCAGGATACATGTTATCTTGGGTCTCTTCTTATATACCAAAGTTGGCTATGATAAATTATACACAGCATTTCCAACATACTTTTCTGTTTGGGGCAGAGAAACCTAGCAGATCTCTTTTTCCCCACAGCCTTAGACCATAGTGGGGCTGTCAAAGCCCTTCTGCCCTTCTCTGGGCTTTTGAGAGGCTCTAACACTTGCAGTGTCGGGGCTTTTTCAACACTGCCCTTTGAGAGCTCCTCTCTCGAGCTTTTTGAAACCAGGGTCATTTTATGTTACTGCCTTGAACTTATCCAATTTTTGTTACAGAAAATGGTAGCAGCCGAAACCACCCTTAACCATCCCTGCCTGCAGCTTCCAAGCTTTACAGGGGGTTTTGAAAGCCTGTCCACACTAAGCATCGTGATGCTGAGGCCAGCTTGGTATTTAATGAGGATTTTTTTCCTGCGCTGCGATCTGTTCCTGATACCCAGGTGCTGCTTGGTGCAGCTCTGCCTGCAAGGACTTGTGATGCTGGAGGTCTCTTCTACCTGTCCAAGGTGTTCCCTGTGAACCCTTGGCCTCCACAGGGTCATGTCTGGGGAGGCCAATTCTCTTGGTCCAGCAGAAACATCTTACTGTAGCGCATTGAACTCAATAACTTCTAACATAAACCTGGTATCTCTGGTTTTGGGGGGTGAAGGTTGAGCTGCCAGACCACGCTGCCTTTTGTCACGTTCATGATGGGGGTCGGTCTCTTTTCTCAAGTCACAGGCGACAGGACAAGAGGAAATGGCCTCAAGTTACACCAGGGGAGGTTCAGGCTGGATATTAGGAAAAATTTTTTCACTGAAAGGGTTCTCAGGCATTGGAATGGGCTGCCCAGGGAGGCGGTTGAGGCACCATCCCTGGAGGTGTTCAAAAGACGGGTTGATGAAGTGCTGGGAGGTATGGTTTAGTGATGATGCTCCTTGTTTGTTGTGTGGGTGTCTATTTTTGTCAGTTAGGTTGATGGTTGGACAAGATGATCTTTGAGGTCCCTTCCAACCTAGAAGATTCTGTGATTCATCAGCTCACTCCCAGCTCTAGCCTAACTTGCCCACAGCCTCATCTGAACGAGAGGTCTGCAAATCCTCTGCTGTCTCCCCCAGTCCCACGGCGAGATCAACTGTCCCTGACTCATTTCTGATCATTGTTTATCTAATATGCTGATAACCCTTGCAAAATTGGAGCGATGTACCACAGCCATGCACAAGCCAGGCAGCGAGTCAGTCCCCAGAGAAGCCACGTTGGCTCTTAGAGAAGGGGAAGTCAGCAAAGCAGGACACGGGGACTCTGCCAAATCCCCTCGGCCTGCTTGGGAGCGATGTGGTCTATCTACGACCTCTTTTGTTTCCCCGGGGTGGCGTTTCAACCCTTTGGATTAGATGGGTTTGCCGTTGGTTGGGTTTTATTCACAGTGATTGTGGGTTGACTCGGTGTCTGTTCACTCAGCAGCATCTAATTTCGCTCAGGAGGGCGAGCTCCTCTTTGAACTTTATTGGTGATGGCAGCGAGGCTTTGTGTGTTGTGTGTGTTTTGGGTACCATGCTGAGATCCGTGCCTCTGCGGTACATCTTTTACCCAACGCATCCGGTGCCTAAATCTTCATCAGTTTTTTAAAAAATAAGATCTTTTTGATCACGGGTAGCATATATATTTGATCAGCTGCTTTTTTTTTTTTTTTTTTTTGTGCTGCTCTTCAGCTGTTTTAAACAAATCTGGCTGCTGCTGTTTGTGTGTTCACAGTCTGCCTTCCTACTTTGATATGCATTGTTAATTAGCTGCTTTTCGGCTCTTATTCTAACGTTTCCTGGGTAGGATGCAGTTTCCAGCAATCCAACCAACCCTACCTCGTCTGTGCTCATCAAACCAAATTCCTGCGGTTACTTCGTGGGTATGACTCCACCAAAAGTCAAATCAGCTCATTCTGCCTTTAGTCAACGAACTGCTACCTGCTCGCTTTTGCACTTCTTCATCTCAGCTCTTAGACCATCACACGATGGCCCATGGCTTTCCCATCCCCACGTGCTGTTCTTGCCCACACACTCTTTTCAGACGCCCCGATGAGATTTAAGATGCTCTGCATTTAAGGGGTCTTTAACAATGTGCCCTTTCAACTTGTAATGGGCTTCGCCCCAGCGTGGGGAGGTTTTAGGCCAGTTTAAGGCAATTTTGTGATCATGTCTTGCTGGGTGCTCTCATCCTCTTCTAGCATTTGGCAAGGAGGGGCCGCCCTAGCCCCTCTCCCACGCAGGGCACGTTGCCCGTTTCTCCACCCCACAACCTCACAGCCATTTTTTCCAGCACAGGACCCAAATTAGTGCAACAGCCTGTGTCCTGCTCACCCGCTTCCTTTTCCCTCTCGGTGGTGCCTCTTCTTCACTCAGTTATCCCCCTCCCTGGCCATGCACTTGATCCCCCTGTCCCATCCCCATGCACCATCCACTCCCCACCCCACAGAGGAGCTGGGGACACGCTGAAGTGACAAGGACAGCATTTTTTTCCTGCTTAAAGTATTTTTTTTTACCTTCTTTTTCTCTTTTTTTTTTTCCCCCATCCCTTTTTCTGTCTTCCCCCCCCCTCCCACCCTCTGCTTCTCTCTCTCCCCTGCTGTGTGTGCCTCGGCTTTGCGAGCCTGAAGGACGGCCAGATAAAAAGCTCCTCTTTCTTTCAGATCCTTTCACCAAACCACCCATCCGCCTCCTCCTCCCGCCCCATTCTCCTTGCAGATTTACGGGCAGACCAGGGAGAAAGTGCCGGCATTAGCATTTTTAATAAAGAGCTGCTTG